AAATATATTTAAAATAGGCATACATAGTTTAGTTCAATTGAATGTGTTATTTATAACAATAGTAGTTTTTTCTTTTAAAAAACATAACTATTTATATTGCTCCCTAAATAATAAAAAAATAAATTACAGTGAAAGCAATAAAGATTTTGTAGGTTTTGAACCAAACTAAATAACAGTAAGTCTTCTTTTGATTTACGGTATTTTCTTATTTTGATGTTTTGAGCTCTTTTGTATTTAGAACAATATATACTAATTTTTAAAGTATCAAATTGAATTTTTGTTCAATAAAAATCTTTCAAATGCGACTGTAGCTTTTTTTTCCCCAAAACTTTGTCTTCAAAATAAGGGTGCATCTTATACACCGGTACGTCTTATATTCCGAAAAATACTGTAATAATTTTCATATCCTAAATACAATGGACTTTTGAAATGGTAAAAATGTGTAGAAGATACAGCATACTTGAATTATTCTTATATATTTTTTATTTGAAATATAAGTTAGTCGGAAGATTTAGTTGAATCAAAATCTTAACCAGTCTTTTCATAGTGTAACAGTCTTCAACAGGCCTTCTTATCATAATTTTAATACGTTTGTACTCTGTCTTGATTATAAAGTTTTTTTTGTTAGGAACATATTGTCTGCAGCTTTAACAATGTTTTTAGTTTTACTTTTGTAAAGTTTTGTGAACCAAGAATATTAATAGAACAAGCATTGCCAATTTACAAGTAACATGAGTGCTGACCATTAAGAATGTGTTTTGACAAATATATTTTATAGGTGGTGGTGGTGGCGATCTTTCGTGTATGGTTAGTGCCCATGGGATTCATCTACGAAACAGCTGTCTTCATCTTCTCCACACACTTCTTTTGTCTCCTTCACGGAGTGTGAATTTACCGTGAGTGAGCTTTCCTTGTTAGGGTAACTTGTCTCATTGTTAGCTGTTTTTTAATTTTATCCTGGGATGAGGAAACATATTTCCTAATTTTCATCATGAAGAAAAAAAACGTCTCCTTTCTGAGACCATTCAGGTTTTTTTTTTTTGTGTATGAAATTATCTTTTTGTTAGTATCACAAGGTGCTTTTAAAGATGGTTTACCAGTATGATTAAGCCTGTATTATTTCATACCTATTTAGTTTAATTTTTGCATCAAAGAACTGATCGTTGAAAAGAAGTATCATGATAACCTCTCAGATTACATCGTTGTAATGACAGGTTTTGTGAAGAAGTTGTGATGGTGCTGGGGTTTGACTGGGTGTTACTGTTCCTTCAGAGCCATCTTCACGTTAGTACAGTTGTGTGGGGGTTGCAGATACTGTCTGCGCTTTTAACACCACCATCCTTGAGATGCAAGTTTCGTGATGCCTCAGCTAATGGTGGCTGGTTGGCTGATACTGAGCATGTACTTCAGCAGAATATGGGAATGTGTGTGGGTATGTATTTTTATTTTAGTCTAAGAGCTGATAACTTTTTTATTATATGGTCAAGTGCTTAGATGGAATAGCTAATTTTTTATTATGTGGTCAAGTGATCTGAATAGAATTGTTTATTTTTATTATATGATCAAGTGATTAGATTAGTTTTTATTATGTGGTTAAGTGAAGAAGAAAAAATGCTTTGTTTTATTGTATGGTCAAGTTAACTACAAGGAACTGCTTATTTTTTATTATGTGGTCAAGTGACCTTGGAATCAACTTCTTGTTTTTTTATTATATGGTCAACTGAACTAGGAAGAAGTACTTATATTTTATGATAACATGAACTCGAATGAATTGCTTATTTTTTATTATATTGATATATAATCTTGGAAAAACTGCTTTACTTATTATAAGGTCAAATGGATGAGGCAGAGCTGCCTGCCTTTTATTATAGGGTCAAATGGATGAGGCAGAACTGCCTGCCTTTCATTATAGGGTCAAATGGATGAGGCAGAACTGCCTGCCTTTCATTATAGGGTCAAATGGATAAGGCAGAGCTGCCTGCCTTTTATTATAGGGTCAAATAGATGAGGCAGAGCTGCCTGCCTTTTTATTATAGGGTCAA